GTTCCCCTCGACGGGCCCAGACGCTTGCTTGCCCTCCCCGCTCGGCCAAGGCAGGCTGCTCATTTTCCAGGAAGCTGGGGTCAGGATTTGGGGAGGCTGGGGCTGCCTAGGGCTGGGAACTGGGGCCATACCCCCAGGGTGAGTGTGGGGTGGCCTGCCCTATGCTTGGGAGGGAGGTGGAGGTGGCATAGGGGCTGGGGAGGCAGCGAGCGGGTGGTGGTGGGGAGGGGAGGAAAGGGCCGGTCCCACTGGGGGCTTGCCCACTGCCCCGAGCCAGCGAGAGATCACACAGGGCAGGGCAGGGCGCGCCCAGCCCGGCTTGGTTATGGAATTGCTGCACTTGCGTGTGAAGCAGCAACTAAGAAAGGGCCGATTTAACGAGACACCAGAGATGGCTCTGGGCCCCTGAGCTACACAACGATAACCCGTCGCCGGCCTTTTTACACCTACGGCCCTTTCTGAGCGGAAGGGCAAGCCAGGGCCTCTGTCCCCCCCCTCCCGGCCTCACCCTTCCGGGCTGAGACAGGGGTTCAGCAAGGGGTGTGGCTTCTGGGCTGAGAGGTTTGCCGTGGGGGAGGGGGCTCTAGGCTGGGGCTGGGGGCTCAGGCTGCTGCAGGGCAGCATTCAATTGCTGGCAGTGCCACCGGGCAGCGGCTAAGGCAGGCTCCCTGCCTGCTCCGGCCCCAGGCTGTTCCCGGAAGGGCCCAGGCTGCTGTGGAGGCCCCTTGGGGGACACGAGGCTTCCCTGGCTGTAGGTTTTGGAGGAAAAACCCAAACAGGCCCCAGTCTAGTGGCAGGGCAGCACCACAGGGCATCCCCCGGCTCCCTTACCCCTGCCCCTCCCTGGCAGGCAGAGGGGGCCCGTGGGGAAGATCTGGGGCTGGCTTGGGTACCTCTGCGCATGCAGCCTGGGGCAGGGGGCAGTGGGGGAGCTGCTGAGCCCCCCACCTGCTGAGCTGGGGGGAGGGGTGCTGCCCAGCAGTGGGTTTTGCTCCAGGCAAACTGCAGCGGGGAGGAGGAGGAGCCTGGTTCTGGAGCACCACGGTGCTTCTAGCTGCCCGGAGCTGGGGCAGGCAGCCTGGGGCTGGCAGGAACCTGAGCTAAGCCAGTCACACGGAGCAGGGGTCCGAGGCTGGGGCCCCAGCTGAGCATGGTGGCTCCCGGGAGCCTGGGGCCAACGGCTCAGTTAGCACACGGAGCCTGTGGCAAGGCCTGACGTGAGGCTCTCGGACCATCGGCTCAGTCGGTGAGCGCGAGGCTCTGGTGTGACCGCACTAGGCCAGTGGAGTGGGGCCAGCCCCACCCGCACTGGGGGAGGCTACTTGCAGCTAAACCAAGTAGCCTACAGGTAGGGAGCTCAGGCCCCTGCCCCTGCCCCTGCAGTGGGGGCCTGGCTACAGGTTTGGGGGAGGCTGAAGGAAGGTGGCGAGTGCAGGGGGAGCAGGGGAGGGGCAGAGCGAGCTATCGGTGCCCGGGAAAGGGAAGGGAGGCCGGGGTTCTACACAAAGCGCATCCCTCCTGCTGTGCCCCGCGACAGCCTGGGACTTGGCTGTAGCGTCACCCAGCCCGGCAGCCTGAAGGTGGCGAGTGCAGGGGGAGCAGGGGAGGGGCAGAGCGAGCTATCGGTGCCCGGGAAAGGGAAGGGAGGCCGGGGTTCTACACAAAGCGCATCCCTCCTGCTGTGCCCCGCGACAGCCTGGGACTTGGCTGTAGCGTCACCGAGCCCGGTAGCCTCCCAGGCCTCAGCCTGTGTTTGGTGCTGCTGCCTCACTGGAGGTTTCTGCCCTTGCACAGGGGGAGGAGGCCGGTCAGGCAGGAGCTCCCTTCTCAGAGCAGGGGGGGCCGGGGGGGGCGGGGCAAGGGGAC